GAGAGATCCCGGTGTGTGCACCCCAGGTATATGACGTTATACAACGTTACGGCACTTGTCAGAAGCGAGAACATCGGCATGCAAACCTGACAGGTCACGACAGAAAGTTCCTGGCAGCCCAACGGCAGCAGATTGAAGTTGTGCACGAACGAAGAGCGTCCCTGTCACGGTCACTAGTAGAAATTCTCTCTATAGGATCAGACTTTTTTTTTTTTAGATCTTGCATTCCTTCGAGCGCTATTGTGTATGGATACGACCATACTTTGCTCGCAAAATATTTCAATATCTACTCCGATTTTTTTTTTACACGAATGTATGGTAGATCTTTTAATATTAAATCGTCATGCTTGTGTGGAGAAGAGAGGGGATAAATATTAAATGTCATAAAACAAATATTTAGAAAATACATACAGTGAATTCAATGAGAAACTGATAATCGAAAAAAAATATAAAGAAATATATATGAATGGAAATACACTGTTATAAAACAAATATAAAATTGATTAAACGAATTGATCCAAGTATTTTCTTTACCGTGATATGCTCATTTCGTGAGCAGCCTCGCGTATTTTGAATTAAAAGAGAGTCGATAGTATTAGTGTGTGATTTTATTTGTTTTATGCGCGCGAGAGTTAATTATTTAAAAATTAAAAAAAAAGAGAATTGTAATACATTCTCAAATTTACAACAAACAAACGGGCTGTCATTGTAGAAATTGTAACATGCATGCGTGCTATGTAATATCCTAGTAATTATAAAACCGAAATAAAAGCCACGATATTTTCCACAGTGATGGAATAAATAATCAATCCTTTTAAAATAATTCCGCAATGAATATTATATGAGATTGTCATCACATTTTTCACAAGAGCGATACAATGTCCTATTCATCGTTATTCCTATTGTCAAAAATGTATGACAATTAAGATTACTCTATTATACATTCTTCTGGTTTGCGCGGCACGAGCCACAACGGTGATTAAATTTATCAAATGTCTGTACACGATCTGAATGCGAGCTCAATCATATATATGTATTCCACGTGCCCGCGTCTCGGATTTCTTTCCGCTCCGATATTCATATAGAGCGCACGCAGCTGCTGAACTGTCGGCATCGCGGAAAATGAATCGTCTTCTACGTCGCTCCTTGTCGCTCCGAGCTCCGACGTGCACACCTTTCCACGCATGGATGAGTGCATTCGAAACGCCGGAGTCCGGAGAGAGAGAGAGAGAGAGACTTCTCGGCGGCGTTACAAGGAGAGTACCTTACCTGCATCCCTTGGGTGTTAATAAACCGCCGCGGTTCGATATCGCGTGTCACGAAATTCCATTTGTCTGACTCACAGCCGCGAGAGCGAGAGAGAATGCGCGTATCCTTATTATATGCGCGTGCATTCATCATCCGCGATCTCTTATTCTATACGCATTATAGACGCATCGCGTTGACGATTAGTATCCCGCGCTGAACTTTTTTATCGCCGATCAAACTCTCAGACGCGAATATCAATTTTAATTTACAAACATGCAAAAGTTACCTTATTAGATGCTGTTTTCAGTTTTTACATCGAGCAATTAAAAAACTAATAATGACAATTCTAAAATTTCTTTACATATTGCAAAATATTAAATAATACATTGTAAAAAAATTCTAAATTCATGACTTTAAATAGTAAGAATATTTCAAATTATTAATTCAACTCTCTATACATAGAGAGAATTTTCTCTTGGAATTTATTCTGAAAATCATGATAATCGTGAGATAATATGGTATTGGAAGAATTTTATAAGAGTTTCTCTGATTAATATATTTAAATAAAAAATATTAATATCTGTCACAATAAGATATAAAATATGTTCAATTAATTTTACTATGCGCATACAAATTAATATATATAATAATTAAAATTATATATATATTTAAGAATTAAAATATTTATATATATAAATTTGTATATGTATAATATTACTATTAAATAAATCATTTATTTACATTTGATGTAAAGTTTTCAAACCCTGTCAACGCACGTTTCTTTCAACTACCCAATGTAGAAATAATCTTGTTATATTTAATTTAGAGAAGAACAAACATGCAATTATATATCGCATAATTGAAGGGTTCACAAATTACCATTGCATCTGAAAGAGTGTTTCGCGGGCTAAGAGGGTTAAATCTTTAATCCTTCTAATTAATAAACGCCGCGCTATAAACTATAATTTCTGTAACGTTGCGGCGGTCAGGGCCTCTGGAAGAGGCCTGTCGACCGAAAAGCCAATCATTGCAATCAACAAGCGGTAATGATTGACCGGCTTAATAGAATCCGGCGCGTGATCTTAAACACGTGCCTCGGACGGAAGGAGGTGAACGTACCCTTATATACCCGACGTCGCGATACTGTTTCTTTAGCTTGGTTCGAGCCAGGCCGCGTACAAGTTACGTTCGCGTGCTTTCCACTCACGTGAGTGCCGCATAATGCTTAATATTTCACTGTGGAACGCGGCCGCTTTTCACGATTACACGCTCGTCGACCGTACATATCACTCTTTAGCGCGAGAGATGCAGCATTTTGCATAGAGAAAAAATACATATATACGGGCGGCGTAGAGAAATCAGAGGCTCAATCTTAATTTCTTGATAAAAGCCGGATATAGCCGGAAGGATAATCGATACGTTAAACGCGGAAGCGTGTATGTATATATGTATATATTTGTGCGTAATGCTCTTCGAGGAATCGCGACCGTGTATACCTTTCCATAAACACATTTCCATTTACATATATAATCTTTTTTTTTTTTTTATGTACGCAGTATCCACTTTCTTGCGTGCAGGCACATACAATGTATATATAAACGAGTTCCGATCGACTATATACGCAATCGAGCGGTCTCTCGTGTTTAAGAGGGTAGTAATGTAAATCGCGAAAAAGTCTGAAAATAACACGCTTATGTCCCCCCATCCGCGTCGAAACGTTTACTCCCCATTAAAACGTTTCTCGTGTCAGCAAGGGAGGATAATCGCACGATAAAGCGATGGTTATGCTCCTATGAAACGGCGCACGCATATATGTATATTCGCATGTGACGGCTTTTAAACGAAAAACAACGTTACGCATAATATCGAGTTAGAGCTCGTGAAAAATTAAAAAGTACCCACATATATATATATACATCATGCCTCGTTGGACCGCTGAAAATTCCTTTATAAACTTATTTATGCACGCGGAGAGAATTTTCTCTTAGAATTTACCTTGAAAATCATGAGAATAATATGGTATTGGAAGAATTTTATAAGAGTTTCTCTGATTTACCATAATAAAAAATATTAATATCTACCGCAATAAGAAATGTAAAAAAATATGCTCGATTAATTTTGTTACGCACATATATTAATATATTTTATTATGATAAATATTAATCCAAAAACTCTAATAAAATTCTTTCAATATCATATTGTCCTACGAGTATCACGATTTTCAGGGTAAAAATTCTAAGAGAAAATTCTGTGTACAAAACTACTCCGTTTTTACGTAATATATATATATATATATATCGTTAAAAAAAGAGAGACGCGGAGGAGAGAATTATGAAATACGGTTAGTCATTTACCCGTCGTTATTCTCTATAAAGAAGTTACCCACGCGGAGCACGCCCTTCGTGGCGAGAGGACTAATTAGCGTACCGGAAGATTAGAGCGACGCGAGTAATCTGCCCTTCTATCTATCTCTCCCTCTCCCGCCAAGTAGTAACGGTAAAATCGAGATCAGTCAACCTCCGAGCTAGTAGAACGAGCTGTTCGCGGGTATCTATCCGCCATTCCGACATTCTCCGCATTTACATTTAGCGGCGGCGGTTACCCTCAACCGCACGATAAATTGCCATTTCGCGTAGCTACGACACAAAATTTCTCCGATTGTAACTCGCGATCCGGTGGACGGTTCTAATTTACACGAGTCGGCTAAATGGAACGGATATATCGGGCGCAAAACTAGGCGCGACGTCGTACGTATATATACGGAACGCGAACCATAATTAATATTTAACAGTTTCTCGTGTGTGGGTGAAGGCGTGTTCGCATAATGCAGACGCGCGTTAACGAGGCAATCGCGTAATCCGAGGCAATGATATAACCCATCCGTGGGCTGTCCCAGTTTCTAACGCGAAAGAAACGCTTGCGTTGCCATCTGTTACAAAAGGGACACCATGTATAACCGGTTTTAAGATAGCTGGCGATACTCCATAACGCATGGAGGCCAGATTTTCATTGTTTTCGATAAACGCATCATCGTGACTCTTGTAAAAAGGAAAATAAGCCTAAAGTAGAGTAGAAAAAGAATAACGTTGGGGAAAGTCCAAGACTATTACTTTTTTTATCAAAAATACACGATGTAGAATATAGAAAACGATATAGAATATCGATATAGAAAGATAAAAAATATTAATAAATATCCTTTTTATTAATGGAAAATATCCACCAAGTTTAATTTTTAACTCCTCTTTAGCAAAGAGTAATTCCTCAAAGAGGGATATAAAAGTATATGTTTATATAAAAAAAAAAAAACCCTTTTCGACAAAGAATTATCTCCTAAAATTTGTCGCGTTTACTCGGATACACCCTGTATATTTTTTGTACGCAATCGAATAAAGTTAATAATGTATTTGTTGTGTAATTTTTCACTTTCCTAAACTCGATTATGCAAATTCTTTTATTTAATATGTAAGAGCAAAATTTAAATTTACAAATATATTCGAAGGCTAATAAATTTTCGTTTCGCAGGAAAGCAAAATCGACGCGATGCGTGATGCAAGGGAGGGAAAAAAAACGCAGACACGAATTGGCGAATCTCCATCGTGAGTTGAGTTTTCGTCGGCGGGCAGAAAAACGATCGATCCTTCACGATAAATCGAATGCCACCGTCGAGCCACGACGGGCAGCGCGCAGTCATAAATAATTTATCTAGCGTTAAAGAGACAGAGAGAGAGAATGATGTGGGGGACTTTACTCACCATAATCGGAGCGCAATCTCGCCGCTCGGATGCAGAAGAAGGTGATCCGCCGACCGCAGCATCTGCAACAAGAGAGAAAAATTCTCTTTCACAGCCGTGCTAATTCACCGTTATACATCTATCGATACACTTCCGGTGTAAGGCACCGACGCAAAAAAAGGGCAAAAAAATAGTAGAGAAGTGTCATTAGAAATATGTATATAAATTTTCGACGGTGGAGAACTGCTGAAACTCTGGAATTCCTCGTATGAGAGGAGAATCCGCCTATGTCAATAAAATCGCAGAAAGGACGACGCTGACCTCCGAAGAGACGATTCCCTGCGGATTCGAGACTCTACACACTATATACTATACCTTCTCCCCTTCTGCCCCTTTATCTTTCCCTACCCTCTTGAGTTGTATGGATGTTCTCGTCGGGAAATGGTCTCGCAGCGTGCCTTCCCGCGAGATTATCTCAACCTCGAGGTCATTGAGAATCGCATAAATAAAGCGCAATTCAAGAAACGAGCGCGCGGTGTTCGCCAGAGGACAAATAGAGGAAGAACGTACGAGAGAGAGAGAGAGAGGGGAAATGAGACGAAAAAACCGTAAAGAGAATCGAATGAGATCCAGGAATCCAGATTTCAAAGCACTTCCAGAGAAATATGAGACACGATACCGGGACATTTTCTCGCTTTACAAAAATACAAAAAGATACCATTTTTATACATTAATCTCAAAATATCAATATCTCGACATATATTTATGAAAGAGAACTCGAACTTTAATTAACAATGGTGCCTCCGCACATTTGTCACAGAAGAGATATAAATTAAAGATATTAATAATATTAATAAATTATTGATAGACAAATATATATATCATTCGTTATTGTAACCTCGAGCAATCAACATCTGAAAGCCTTCACGTCACAATATAATATCTTACTCGATTTAATTACATATTAACAATTGCTGTTATCGGGATTCGCAATCGACCTCCGAACAATTAGCGAGAGATCTGTTTCGCGACAATTACATTAAATGACGATTCGAGGAATAGAATATATAAAAATGCTCATGCTTTTAAACAATGCGTTGATTTCGTTTTTTATAAAAATAATATCTTGACGTAGTTTTATGCGAATAACTCTGTTTCTGTATAGTTTTATTATATTGACAGTTATGAATAATTTATTGTTAATTTCTATTAATCTTTAATTTTCAATGATGCGCTGAAGAAGGTTGAAAAAGGCAACCGAAACGTTCGAACTTTTTTGTCTAATATTTTATGTTATAAAATTTTTTTTCCACAAATAAATATTAATAAAAGAACTTAATTATAGCTCTTATTGCCTTTTATATGTATATTAATTTTTAAAGAGCTGTTACAAATTATATATAATTCTAGATATTAAGGATATTAATAAATTATCTCTCTCTCTCAATTTGAATAATGTTACAATTATTACACAAAACGTTACTTCTCTCGCGTTTTTTTCTCGCCGAGCCAGAGATGCGTGCCGAACGAGATCCCGTCAGCCGACTTTTTTCCGGGAATCCCGGAATCGTGCAGGAAATCGTAGCTCTCTCTCATAGGGAAGAGCATCCCGGAGTCCCGTACGCGGCCGGAATTACCGTCGTTTATTTCTATTTCCAGTCTCGAAAAATCTCAAGTCCGCGCATAAGGCTCGCACACACACACACACATATATATGACCTATCGCAGCCTTCGCAGCCGCGAATTAGCACGCTATAATTTGGCCGCGGCGCACATTAATCTTCTTATCGTTCGACAAGGAAATAAACCAATCCGGGGGGCCCGCCGTAAAATACGTTACCGTAATATATCGCGTGAATGTATATGTATATACATATCATTAAACAATCTCTTCGCCGAAACACAATGGTAAGAAGCGTGCGAACAGTATGGCTCGAAATATCCTCCACCCTTTGGCTGCACTTTTCAGTTCTGCGTTATTATCGACTTCTTTCGACACGTAGTATATAATTTCGATTTTCCGCACGAAGGATTTTTCTCACCTCTTCTCTGAACAATTAATAAATAAATAATTAACGCCGTTGAACGCGACAGCGTAAAACTGGAATTATATATGGAAAACGGGTGACAGATATACAAAGAGACATCCTCGAGAAAATTACTAGTTGGAGTTTGCGCGCGTTACACGATACGATCATTATCGCGGCGGACTTTAAGAGCAGTAAACTAAGCGCGAGACGTAACGTTATAAAATCAAAGGCGAGAATAAAGAGCCGCGAGAGACGGGTGTATAATAGTGTCGGGTGATAAGAAAGATAAGAGCGCCTTATAGAGGCGTGCATACCGGGTGTCAAGTTTTTCGTATCGCATGCCTCCTCGCCGCATAACCGTGTCTTGGATTACGACTAAGGATACTTATGGGAATCTACGGACTCACTTTCTACACGCAGTTGGAATTAAACGCGCATACGCAACGGAGAACAATGCCGGAACATTACTTGACGAAATGCCTCGTGAAATCTTGAATCATCTTTCACGTGTATATAATGAAATGATTCTATACGATGGGTAAAAATGGACGATTCCGTGTCGCGAGATTTCTAACTCGAGACATTTAAAAACAAAACCTTACGAAGACGAGAGAAAAGAATTTTTAAATGCTCCAAAAATCACGAGAATAAAATTAAACGAAAAAAAAAAAAAAAGAGAAATTATAATCGCGTATGGGAAGAGAAAACTTGTACGCTTTGAAAAACGGCGGAGACGGGAAATATTTCTTGCGCTTTAAAAGGAGGACAAGAGATCCGACGTATATATATATTCCAGACAAAGTCTACCGTCAAACTGCGGGGACGCACACAATGAGAGGGTTGGCTCTTTCTCGCAGATGAATTCGAACCTCCGTGGGCCCGCAAAGTACCCGTTATTCCCGTCGCTCTCGCGCATGCAAATCGTTATTATTATCGCCGTTGTTATTATTGCGGTGCCAGATATACCGAGTGCGCGCCGCGCATAACAATAGTCTCTTTTCGCGCGCGCATATAAGGCGAGGGTTAACTCCTTCTCTCGTATAATAACTTCAATTTTAAATTAGCATATACCGAAAACCGACCGACGGGCGCATCGATCTGTTTACAAAGTTTACGGGATAACACTTGTGTCGGTCGCGACACATGACATCTTTATTAAAAACTGCTATCGAGATCGCATTTCGTCGCGGAGAGAAAATAATCGTTTGAGGTATAAGTGTGCTGCGGTTAATACAGAGTTAATAATCGCTCTCGCAAATGTTTCAATAATTAATGAATGATACGCCGGCAACAATTTTCATCGCATTAAACGTCATTATTGCGAAAGTGGATTGACCTAAATTATATAATGTATTATAATGTATATATATATTCAACATGAATATCGTGTTCTATTTCGCAATATATATTTTTCGTTATATTATACAATATACAATAATGTGAATTTTTTAAAGAATTTGTCATTTCATTTTTTTGTAAGATTTTTTGATATATTATATATATATATATATACAATGAAATATATATAATATAATTTATATTATATACACAGAGAGAATTCTCTCTTAGAATTTACCCTGAAAATCATGGTGGATCAATCGTAGGACAGTATAGTATCGGAACAATTTTATAAGAGTTTCTCTGATTAAATATATTTATAACAATAAAAATATTAATATCTACCACAATAAGATATAAAATATGTTCGATAAATTTTATGTACACGGTAAAATTTACTACGTACTTATTAATATCTTTGATTGTGATAAATATTTTAATGAGAGAAATTCTTTAAAAAATCTTCTAGAATACCAATGATTTTCAGGGTAAATTCTAAGAGAAAAAAGTCTCTCCGAGTAATATAATATAAATATTAAAAAATATATAGCAATGCCGCATTATAATGCAGTTAATCATCTAAATATTTCAATATACATTGTAATAGCTGAGCAGAGCGGTAACTAGTCTTGCAACCTGGAGTGGTTCGTCCGCTGCGATCACGGTACATCGCGCATCTTTGCGGATAAACAACACGACGACAACGACGACTACATCCAACGACAACAACGGTAGCGTGTAAAACGCGGGCATGCTTATCCGCGCGCGGGGAGAGAGATTTAATCTGATCGGCTATTATATATGTATAGGCGACGTACAATAACGCGCTCGCGCGCGCGCGCGCGCGCGTTGCTTACAAGAGCGAGCGAATAGAGACGTTGGAGCGTGCAACCGCGTTGCTCGTGCGATGCAAAATCGATACTTTCCGAGCCGTGTATGTGCGCGGCCCTCGCACTGACCTATCGGGCGCATCGGGGATAACTGGGTGAACCCAGTAGCAGGGCGATAATAAATTAATCATCTAGTTATCGCGTACACGGGCGTAATGACTATCCCTCTTCTCTTGGCCATCCCTCGATCGGTTTGTAATCCGGGAGATTCCTCGACGTCTGCCTCCTCCCTTCCTCGCTTTGGGAACCGTCGCGATTATATTATACAGATCGAAAGACGAAGCGCGCGAAATGAGAGCCGACGCTCCCTGTTAATTCGCATGGGAAAATTGTTTTTATGTAGCATCTCCCATTGTTTCAGTTGGCGAGATTAATAATGATAATTATATACAGCCTCGTTCTCTGATTCGTGTGTTTTCGAAATCGCTTTGTGCCTGTAATCGAGAATATAATTGAACTTGGCATTTTCAGTTCTTTCTACGCCGCTGCATCTCTCGTACGTGTCCTTTTAAAGGCGCCTTCACATGTGCGCTCTGTGGAAGGAAGAAGGCCGCACGAAGGAAAACAGAGGGATGCGCTCGGAACTGGCTATAAATAGGAGTACACGGACGCGCTATTTCCCTTTAATCCGGAGAAATTGCGCGATATCGCGCGGCTTCGAGACCGGTTCCGGTGCTGCAACGCGTTTCCGAAGGCGGGTTTAAGGCCTTTCGCGCGCGCCGCGTCTTTTAATGCGCTTTTAATGAAGAGGCTCCCACGAATATCCCAATTATCGCAAGATTATCGCGCATACGTATATATAAGTGCGTCGATAATAATC